GAATCAAAGTAGCAAGCAACTTGTCTTAAATACATTACAAAATTGATAAAGCTGGCTACAGAGTGTTTGGCTTAGTCTTCCTAATGCAGATTGTTAATTGACATATAGTGAAGGGACTTCCCTAAAATAGGTGCTGAAGTAGCTTTCTAGTCAGTGGCGATGGTTATATGAAGCCTTTAGGCAAAGATTCTGTCCAAGTAGCTGAAGTCCTAAACTTCTTCAAGGTCCTTCAAGGTACCTGCTTTTATCCATGGCCTATATGTGAAACTCATATTAGTATGGCTGATTTACTAGACCCCTACAATGCAGATAGAAATTATATGCCTGTTTTAGGCAGACTGAATCCCAGTCAGTGCACCTTGGGCAACTGCACAGTATTAAATAAAACATTTTCACCTGGATCTTGTTACCAAGGTGAAGGGCAAAATTAATTGTGTTATAATGTGCACAGTACAGTTAATCAGAAAAACAAAGAGTATTTGTATTGCCTGGAAGTATTGTTCACTGTTAACATCACAGAGCACTGATAAAGTTTGATAAAGTTGTGTTGGGTTTTTTTTCTTTTAAAGTATCTCTCTAAATGTTGTATGTCTTTCAAGGAGAAGTGGCACTAAGGCTAGGAAACTCATTATTTGCTCATTTCGTGTCAGGAAAATGTCTTTTATGCTTTTGAACATTAAATTGTTAAATGTTAGTTCTCTTTGCACTTTTACTGTCCTACCTGTCGTGATAACAAAGATTTGCTGTAGTGGGCAAGGTGCCTGCATCGACTTTAGCCATTGTCTTTAGAGAGCATGTGCATCTGTTCATCGTGTCAGCTGAATAACTGAGCTGGCTGATCGCTGTGTCAGCAAGCTAAGTCTCTCTTCCATGTCCGTAAGTCTCCAGCTCTAAACACACTTGACAGTTAGCTGGTGACCTTAGAAAGTCTTTTCATCTCTGACTCCACAAGTGGTAGCATGACTGCTGGGAAAGTGTTTTGGCAAAGGTAACAATAGCTTAAAATACATTGATGTTAAAAGCAAACATCTAAATGCATTTGTCCAAATGACAAAGATGAACCACTGTTCATGAAGACTCATGCACAGCTGCAGTAGCTGGGATATGAACAGGCACTGACTTTTCTGCTGGTTTCCAGCCATTTTTTTCCCCAAATCTTTGGTGTTTAACAAACAGAAACTGATGTCTAGTATTTAAATGGATTTCAGAAGCTGGTGAAACAGAGGATATCACATTTCCTTATGTACAGTAAATAGGTTTTGTGACTTCCATCAGCAAAGCTTCCATCTAAGCATTTTTAATGAGATTTATGCTGCTGTCATGGTCTAATGCGTTATAAAAGCAAAAAGGTAAAAAGAATGATTGTCAGATTTTTAGTGGGCAGAGTATTTTAGAACTACAGAGGGATTCCCTTGTTCTGCTGAGAGCAGCCAGGGTACGTGGGTGAATCCTGTGCTCATCCTACGCTCCTAGCTTGGAGCTCAGCAACCCTTTGCTGCATATTGTTTGTTGCTTTAAGGGAAGCTTTCATCTGAGAATAACAGTAGAGAATGGAGTTTTGATAACCAGAAGGTAGAACAGGCTGATAAAAAACAAAACCAAGACTTCTTCTTCTAGGACACCCCACCTGGAGTGTTGCATTCAGCTTTGGTGCCCCTGACACAAGAGGAATGTGGGCCATCTGAAGCTAGTCCAGAGAAGGGCCACAGAGATGATCAGAGGCTGGAGCACCTCTCCTGCGAAGGCAGACTGAGAGAGTTGGAGTGGATCAACCTGGAGAAAAGAAGGCTCTGGAGAGACCTTAGAGCAGTTTCCAGTGCCTAAAGGGGGCCTACAAGAAATCTGGAGAGGGGCTTTTTACAAGGGCATGCAGAGGTAGAACAAGGGGGGATGTCTTTAATCTAAAGTAGGGGAGATTTGCATTAGACATGAGGAAAAACTTCATCACTGTGAGGGTGGTGAAGCCCTGGAGCAGGTTGCCCAAAGATGCTGTGGCTGCCCCATCCCTGGCAGTGTTCAAGGCCAGGCTGGATGGGGCTTTGAGCAACCTGGTCTAGTGGAAGGTGTCCCTGCCCATGTCAGGGGAGTTGGAACTAGATGATCTTTCAGGTCCCTTCCAACCCAAACCATTATGTGATTCTCTGTGTTATGTTTCTTTTTTTGTTTGCTTTCTCGCTAAGGGGAGTAAGGGATGGAGGGCAACGGCCGTACTTTTCAGCAAATACATTTTCTTTACAAGAATGTGATTCCTGCAAGATGAAAAACTTGAGCATGGCTTTTGCTGTGCTGAGCTTCCAGGGCCGTGTTTCTTTAGCCACTTGACTCCAATCCATGAAAGACGATTCAATTTGAAAGCTGTGCCTTAATGCTGACAAGAGCGTAGAGAGAGTGGTCACCTGAACATCCCATGGAGCCCTGATGGGAATGGGAATAAAGTATTCTTACCATAACTTTCTGGAAAACCTAAAAAGCAGGCAAAACATAAGTACAGAAATTCTTCCTGTTCAAAACTTTGGTCCATGTCAGACCATTTTGTAACTGTCCCTGCCAGACCAGACTATAATGTGCAGGTTACAGAAAAGTAGGTTGAAATGGGTATTGGCCCTTGGGGGGGATTGTAACCCATGGCAGGGGGTTTGGAACTAGGTGATTTTTAAGGTCCCTTCCAACGCAAATCGTTCTGGGTTCTGTAGTAGATACTCTCGATTGTATAAACACAACGAAGACCTAAAAGGGGATCAACTTGGGTCAGGTTTTACTTCTCCAATGTACTTGACCACTAGGCAAATACGTAGTTAAAATTTTTCTACAGTTCAAACTGGAAAAATGAGAACAGTTTTCACCAACAGAGCCTTGCCTCTGCAGTCTTCATGGTGAGCTGCCACATACCCACTCACACCATGCTGCATTTGAAGTGGTATTTTCTTGGTTGATAGCCAGCCAAATGCCTCAGCTGCTCATACAAATGGTTCAGTGCAAATCAATGAGATTTTCTAGACAGAAGCAGTTAATATTTCAGCAAGCAACTGCAGATAAAATTGCTGTGTCAGATTGCATGGCAAAGAGAGCTGTTGCCCTTGTTCAGAAAATTCTTTGCCAGGAGAGTTTTCAGACCTACCCATTTCAATAATCTGAAAAGTTCTACCTTCACATCAGCTTTGACGTGTTCAGAGTCTCTTTGTGCTAGTCTATTTTGACACAGTATTTATAGTTTGGAAGAATCAAAGATTAAACATGGTGTTTTCCACCCCCTGGCAAACTTCAGGAGGTGGGTTACTGCTACAGACTTTGCTCTGGTTCTGCAATTATCCTAATGTGTATAATATTAGCATAAGATGTCAGTATTATTACTCAGGTCCTTCTGAGAAACTTCTTGCTGTATGCTCTATTTACATAAGCATGTTCATGTGTGTGTCTGGATGCATTTTGGTTTTCCAGCTGATTTTCCAAGGAGAAGTGGGCCTTTTGCTGTATTCTGTTATCTTCCCCTACATGCAGAATTTGTCAGATTCCCAGAAAATGTCTGCCTTGAAACATATCAGTCCAATAACAGTGAAAAAAAGATTAAATTTTGCACCATGGTTTGATTCGACAAACCATATTTTTTTAAGAAATAGCTTGATTCTGCTGTGAAAAAAAAAACATGCCAATGAAGCACAACAGCTTTTTCTATCTCAGCCCACATGTCTGCCATTTTTGCCCCCACTCTCCTAAATGTGTCTGTGTCACCCAAAGGACATAGTCCTGGGCTTTTGGCCAATATCCTGGGCTTGAATTCCCACATAGAAAAGCATTTACTTAGGAAAATAATATCATGTGGCAGCCGGTAGGCACAATACTACCTCTACTGCCAGAATGTACTGACTCTAAATGAAGCTGTGGCAGATGGCCTGAAATGTTTCAGTGCTTTCTTTCTGTAGACCAGGATTACCCAATTAATTTGTACTGTGGTGCTTTGGGATATTTTACTACATTCTAGTCAGATAGGTGGGATACACTGGATCTGGCTTTGCTGGACCAAGCCAGGTCTTCACATGAGGTAAGGGCAGTGTACAGCCAAATCCCTGTGACTGCAGGTTCCTGGTGGGGCTGAACCAGTGGGAAGAAACATGGGATCATCCCTCTGGACACCTGGGAAAACATCTGTTGGAATGAGAAGAAATGGACTCCAGGTTCAAATCATGACCAAGTCCACTACTTGGGTAGCCCAGATTTAGATAAGGGTGACATTTTACTTGCTAATGATGCTTTTATAATCACTGTGTGCTTGCAGAAGTAGCTTTATGTTACTATTCATTGAGTGCTGTTCTCATGTGTGGTTAATTGGTAGGTAGAGTAAAAGGCCAGTAGGACCTTTCTGTTGTGATTAGATAAATCCATAAGTGAACAAACAGGTTATTTTCGTTAAGCAAGTGGTGATGCATGGGGACATTTAGTATAGCTTAGGGAAAATACATGGGAAAGAACAAGAAAGTGTCAAATATGACGTTGAGGTTTGTAGGTTTGGGACAGAGAGAGGGTAGTGCAATCAATTTTAGTGTGTCAGAATAGCTGGTAGAGGAAAATGGCCAGCTATCATTTTGCTAGTTTATTAGAAGTCGTGACTTGGAGGTGTAACCTAGAAATACAGTCCATCGAATCAGAATTAAGCCAGCTGCATATTACTGGAATAGCTTAAGGAAAATGTCCTTGTCTGTTCTATCCTCTTTTCTGGGTACATGTTTTCACTCAGTTAAGAAAAGTCAGTGGAGTTGCATTTTAAAGTGTTGTCACTTCACAGTCTGTCATAGGGCTTTTTTCAGCTCCCTTCAAAAGGAGTTGGTGCCTAGAACTATGCCAGCTGGTGATCTGATCCTCCTGCCACTTTACTAGAAAATCTAAATATACAGCAATATGAGCTGAAATATGTCTGCTGTCCTGTTTTGCAACTATTCTGCATTTGAATGAAGAACCACTTTCACATTAAAACAGTACTGAAGCTCTCTCTTTCTGTTCTATAGGTTGTCATTTTGTATTTTGAGCCAAGTGTATTTCGCTGTATTCTCCTAAGATGGGTTCGTCTTCTGGGCTTTGCTACTGTTTATGGAACTGTGACCCTCAAACTTCACAGGTATTTCACATATTAATTTCCATCTCTGTGGGAGTATGTGCAATCTGTGTGGGTACGTAGATGGAAGAGCTGCAAACATTATCATAAACAAGCGCCGTTTCTGATTTTTAAAACTACTCTGTATTTCTCCTCATGATTGCTCAAATTGTATGCGACTAATCCCAGTAGAGAACTGTGAATGCAGACAGGATTTGATGAAAAATGTATACATCAGCTGTGAAATTGTACAAGAGCTCCTTTTCACAGGAAGTGAATATATGTTCCTTGAACACAGGAAATAGAGAGGTGTTTGTAGACTATTCAGAAGTTTCCTTGTGAAGTGTTCATAAATGATTTCTTAGTGTAAACTAAGATACAGCAATGGTGGGTAAAACAATGCAGTATGGTGTATATACTTACTATATTTTCTTATGGCTCATAAGTCAAGGGCTGCTTTCTTCAGGTGATCACAGAAGACAGACTACGTGCTTACAAACATCAGTGCCTCTCAGCAAAAATGTGTGGGAAGTTCTGGGTTCCACAGGGTGGGCAGTACATTCATGTGCGATTCATAGACCCAACTTCAAGTCCCACTTCTACAGTCCCGTTGAAAATTGAAGCCTTTTCTGGGTATGCTGGATAAAATCTTAATGCTTTTTCCTTTTTAAACTGAAGTGCAAAAAATTACTGATACATTCTGTAAGTATGTTTATTGGAGCGAAGAAATCTGCCATGTGTATATATTGGTAATTGGACATCTTGGACGAAGTAGCCTTGTTCATCTTTTTATCTTAACCTCGTTACTGTGTTGGCATGTTAGAAAGACAAGGTTTGATATTATGCTTGTAAACTGAAGGAGGACTGAGATTATCTTGTGGTTTATGTTGCACTAATGGCATGTCACATTTTTGGAGAAAAACCCTGCTTTCCCATTGAAATTGAGCCTCTTCTTGCAGATCTCTTTTATTTGTGTCCCTGGTTAAAAGCGTAGACTTGGGCTGGTAAACTCTGACTGTATAATACTGTCTGGCCACATCTTTGCATTGAAATCCATACAGAAAATTCTACACCCTCATGGTATTTTCTGGGGTGAACAATTTCTGATGCAAAAAGAGTAACAAGTAGGGCACTGTAGAAGAGAGAACAGAACTGGTAACTTTGCTGGAATTGTTTTTTATCTGTAGCTCAGTTATGTAAAGAAACAGCCTAAGACTATGGAAGACTCACATTGCCATTGCAGTTCTGCTGCCCTAAAAGGTTGTTTATATGATTTTACATGATGTGAGGAAGCAATTTTTTGACAGGGCAGTTGATCTTCAGTTTATATGAAGTGAGGACAGGCTGCAAAATTGGGCAGAAAATCTTGCACTTCTGCTTTACTTATTCAGCTGTTTGGTGCTACTTGTCACCTCTGCTGACAGGATCAGCAAACACGACAAAGACTGAATAGGAAACAAAGAACGAACTACATCCTCATCCTTGATCAGCACAAAAGAATGAAGGCTAGGAGCCTACTGGACTGCATCAACAGGACAGCGGCCAGAAGGCTGGGGGAAGTGATTACTCAACTTTACTCAGCAAGCCTTTGACATATCTGCAATTCTGGGTCCAGTTTTGGACTCTCCCAAGGCATCAATGAACTTGAGTGAGTTCACTGAAAGGCCATCAAGATGTTCAGGGGTTGAAGCACTTGCCCTGGAAGGAGAGGTTGAGGGAACAGGGTTTGGTCAGCCTGGAGAAGAGGCAGCATTAGAGTGACCTAGCAGAAGCTGACACCTACAAGGAGGTTACTGAAAAGATGGATCCAAGCTCTTTACAGCAGTGTATATTGGGAGAACAAAAGATGACGACAAATTGAAATGGGAGATTTCAACTTTTTACAATATGATTTAGCATCAGGGTCAAGGAAAACATTTTCACTGTTAAGGTAATTAGGCAGTGGAGCTGGTTGCCCATGAGGTTGTGAATTTCCATACTTGGAGGTTTTTAAGACCCAACTGGATAAAGCCCTCAGCAACCTGGTCTCAATTCAGCGTTAAATTTGCTGTGAGTACTGGATGACCTCGTAGGGTAATTCCAACCTGAGTAATTCTATATTTCTTTCTGAAAAATGAAGAGGAAAAAAAAGACCTAACTATTTAATACATGAATCTAGAATTATATTCTCTAGGATTTTATCTTCATATTCCTCAGATGGTCCTGTCCTGACCATTCATATCCTACATTCTTGACAGTGTGGTCTTTTTAGTACTTAATATTTCAGTCCAGGAGAGTGCCTTGCAAAAGACTGAGTCAAGTTAGATAATAAGCTTTATTATATACACTTGTAGAAGTTATGCTAATTAGGAATAGTACAATGCTAATAGAAATTTGGTAGAATTTTTGGCAGTCTAATGCACAGTCATTGCAGGGTTGAAGAGTGGCTTACTGCAGACACCACAGATACTCATGACAAGCACTGGTTCCCTGCTGCATGTAGCCTCTGTCTTGTCTGGAGGAAGAACTGATTGCTAGCAAGGAACTTGTGATTTTTCTAAGCTTAATGGGAAAGCCAGTACTGTGTAAAAGCAGCTGTTAAGGATAACCAGAAAGTATAAGGCCATATTTCCCAACAAATGAGGTGCTTTGAGTAGCACTGGCACATGAAAGTTACCCAAAGTCAGGTAGGAGGCACCGAAAAACTTGTTTTCTTTGTGGCTTTTTTCCCTCATAGCTTCCCACTTCCCAGCCTTCTCTGAGGTTTTGTTATAGTCAAGCACCAAGGAGAAATCAGAAAAGTAGCCAAAAGCAAATGCTTAAGGAAAAGAACAGGGAAGTCGTACTGATTCATTCTTTCAACACCTGTCACAGTCAGTTTCTACAGTGCCTCCTCTTAAATTGCCTCTTTCTTATTCATTGTGCATTTTTGAAATAATGAGCTGATGTTTATGGGGGTGGAAGAATGGAGGTAAGGAAATGAGCTTAATTTAAGACATGTACCTGTAGAGCTGTGAACATAAAAATACTTTCCTCAATAATGAATTCTTCAAAATCGTTCTCTGAAGAAATAATGATGTCTCAGATTTAATCTTTCAGTTTTAAAAGAGCTGCTGATGTTGCATCTTTCAATATATTTCTGTGACTGAAGACTCTTTGTGTCCTTTTATGAGCACTATATTTGATGGACAGATTATCTCATTATTTTCAGTATTTCATGAACTTCTGCCATCTTGGTGTCAGGATTAGTACAGAATCCTTAATTCTGGGTTAAAGCATGAAAATGGAAGAAAGCCATAGGTTTATCCATACAGACATATGTATATGTGTGTGTGCATACAGAGGACAGCTTACAGACAGTTTAGCAGAATGAAACCCAGGAACGGGGTCACTAGTTTGTGGGAGTGTCCATTTCTTACATTACTAGGAGAAACAGAGGAAAGTGTGGAAGTGAGGAGAATGAGAAGGTATGGAGAACATAATGTTCCAGGTATGGAACACAAGACAATGACATACAATGGCTTTTTTGTAAGTAGTGGTGGGATGGGTGTGTTAGTGGGAGGACAAGATCTTAACACTGTGAGGCAGTTCTGCACTGCTTTTAAATGCTATGCTAAGATTACATTGCTGTGCCTTGACATTTGGAACAGTCAGAGCACGTAGTGGCCCTTTCTACAGATCTTTTTAGATGATAAAGAAAGGATGATAAGACCAGTGTGGGTAGTGTGCAGTGGTGCACATATGATTTAGTGGTGGACATGATTTAGTGGTTGTCTTGGTAGTGTTAGGTTTAAGGTTGGACTTGGTGATCTCAAGGGTCTTTTCTAACCCAAAAGAGTGTGATTCTGTATGTTATGGTTTGGTATCTTACAGAGAGGAGACCGGTGCTAGCAGAGAAATCCAAGATGTTGGTTTGCTTCTTGAAGCACTTGGGTGGAGGTGTGCATTGATGGTGAGAACATGAAAGAGGAGGGCATAGCATAACCTCCTATTGTAGCTAGGGAAAGGAAAGAAGATACAGGTGATTTATCTGACTCTCCTTCTGAGGGATTTGTGGGTCTGCCTATAACTGGGTGATTTCCCATGTCCTGCTGAAAGCGTGCAGGCTGCAACTTGAGTTAGTATTGACCCCAAGATGGCTTTTTGTAGGAATTGGGTTTGAATTAACAGTTAATACAGAGAAAAACTCATGTTAGTTTTGTGCAGTTATGTAACAAATGTGTAATCTCAAGTTTCTTTGTAAACTTTAATTCCTGGCAGTATAAACAAAGCTCAGTGACACCATGTTTCTGTATCTTTCACACAAGTGTCATGGCAGGAGGTTCGGTGTGCTGTTTCCCTGGTCCCATAGCTACATTGTGTTAAACAGGAAAAGGGAAGGGGTATGTGGTCAAAGGTTAAGATCCCGTCAGAGAAGCAGTAAGTGCTGTGTCTGGTACACAAGTCTGTGGAGACCCCTGCAGAGAGGGAGGTGAAGGCATGAAGACTTTTTTCTGGAGAGGGGAGAGACATGTGGTCAGATGCATGATCTGAAGCCTTGGCTGAACGTTGTTGGGAGCACTGCCTGTTACCATTCCGGCTTCAGGAAGAAGGGCAGCTGGACTTCAGAAAATAAACATCCTGCACTGACAAGATACTTGTTTTGTACTGCCAGTTTCTCTTCTGCAACGAAAATTATCTCAAGAAGGTTCCAAAATTTGCCAGTGCTTGGCAGAGAAGGGCTCACAGCCATATAGGTTTTGCTGTGGGCTGCTGGAGCTCCATGTCTCTGATGCTCTTGCAGCTGTAGCTCCTTGTTGTGCCTCTTCAATTTGTGTTTATGTGAGAGCTCCATGACACTGCTTTGAATATCAGAGCCAGCAGCAGTGCAGAAATTAAAGATTAAAAAAGAGCCTTCCTTCATTACTGTCACGTCACTATTATCAGCTTCATTTTCTCGTACTCATGACTCAGATGAGAGGGAGGTACCTAGAGCTGGCTGAGAGAGACATGGTGAACAAAGAAAGGCATCGGGTACTTTTTGTATTTATTATTAATTTAATGTA